CTTTGCTGAAGAAGAGTTCAAAGACCTAGATTTGGTTTATTAAGTACACACACACACACACACACACACACCATATATCATCAAGCTAAATTCTCAGCCTCTCCCTGTAGCACAAAATTTCACATTCTATAATTGCCTTAAATACTTTCAGGATGCCAACCTGAAAAGCACCCTTTAGCAATAACAAAAAAAATGGCTACAATGACATTTAGTCTGATGTTCTTCACATTCACAAGATGATTATTAGCTAGGTTTAGGATTAGTATTAAATTTAAAATGTCTAATACACATTATTACATGTGAAATTACTTTTACTTAACTTCATTGTCACTTGAATGCAGAGAACAGTTTCAGCCCACAAGAACAACTCTAGACACTACCTGGAAGGAAAGCTGATGTCCTTTAAAGCAAGATCTGCAAGGTGATGTAAAGAGGAGAAAACATAATGCCAGATATAGATGACGGGGAGATGGAGGCAACAAACCACATTGCCATGTGTGTACCTATGCAACAATCCTGCATGATCTGCACATGCTCCCCAGAACCTAAAGTACAATAAAAAAGAGGAAGAAATACATAAAATGTAAAAATCAGAGGTCAGGAAGGCACATGAAACATAAGAAAATGGAGTCATAAATTGTTCACTGACTCCATATTCCACTGAGTGATTAAGTGACCAATGCCTGACCACATTGGTCCTTTAACCAATTACAAAGGAGAAGCTTAGGTTAAAGGAAAATACTTCCCCATGGTTAAAATCAAATAGTAAGAACATTCTGGAAATTTCTAGATGTTTACATAGGAAAGGAAGCATTAAGAATGATTCTGACATAGATCTGGATACTAAATCACAAGGTAGCATATTTCCATCAGATCCTCTCTAGGCTGATAAGATGTGTGTGTGTCTGTGATGGGGGTAGGGAAAAGAGGACAAGAATGAGAATATATGAAACTGTATACTATGAGACAAATACATTAGGCATACACAGATCTATTTTTATAAACGTTCTGCATAACTTCCTTTTCGTTTAAATGTATGTACATATTTGACAACATTTCATATCAATAAAGATACATTTATGTAACTTCCATTCCCAACCAGGTACATCCTATACTATTGTAATTTTATCTATTACTATTACTCCTGAAACAATGGGGAAATACACGTATTAATTAGCTTATAATTTAATCTTAAGCCTGACTTACCACAGGCTGTCTACTCACAGTATTTTTGTATATACTTTCCAGATATATTTTATGTGTGTCTATATATAATTCAAAAGCTATATGTTCACATGTTCAAATACATTTGTGTTCAAAATTAATTCACATTATACACACTGCTATTGTCTGTATGTTTCCCAAAATTCATATGTTGAAACTTAATTGTCAATGTAGTAGTATTAAGTGGTAGTGCCTTTGTAATTATTTGTATATCTCAATGTGTCTATTTATTTGTCTTTAATTTTAGTATTGTTGAACAACTTTGGATGTTTGCCATTGCTTCTCACTTTTGAATCATTTGTTAATAAAATTAAACATTACTGTTCTATCTAGTCATATTCATTCCTATGTCAATCATATTAGTTATATGCTATTAAATTATGTTTGAATTATTTCTCCCACTTTCTGATGCCTTTAAATGTATTGTATTTGTTGATAATGGCTTTTCAATTTCCCCTTATTATTCCAAATAAGATATATTATATTTCACTGTAAATATAGTGAAATGACCACTGGTATGCTTCTATTTTTTGCTGGTTTCTCACATATGCAAAAATATTCTCCTTTATTTCTTTTAAGCAACTCTACCTCTACCTTAGACCCAGCTTCCCTCCCCTACTTCCACCCTTGTTTCCTTTCTATGATTTGGGGGATTGGTAGTTGAAATTCATTGCAGTTAATATAGTCTCCTCCTGTGGGTCAATGATAAACAGACCATTTTAATCAGTAAGTAAAGAACCATGGAGAAGTTATTTACACTCATGAGACTGAGTTTTGCATTTTTAAATGGAATTAATGAGCTCAATATAACATCACTGTTGTGAGAAGACTGAAAAATTCTAGGAAACATCTGGCCCATAGCAGGCTTTCCTTAATTGCTACTCTCTGCTATATTCTACCTCGTCTTTCCTGTGAGATAAATTACCTTGGCATTCACTTAATAACATTACTGTCATAGAGAGCGATGATAAGTATAAGACAAGGAAAAGGAAGTGTGTGCTTATTGTCACAGTGCATGACTGAGGTTTGGTGGCATTTTCATGTTATAGCATGTCACCAAATGCAGTTGAAGGATGGGGAGAAAATTAACTAATTATTTTATTTTGTACATTATCCTACCACTTCTTTTTACTGTTAAAATGTCAGAGACAGAATTTTTCATGGATCCCAAGAAGGAAGAATTCCATAATTTAATATATATGTGTTGACTGATATAGTTGTTACTGTCTCACAGGTCAGGAAACTGCGGAAAACCACAGGTAATCCCACAGAACCTCCAAACCTTTGAGTACAAGAGTTACAGAAGAATACTAGGGCCATGAAAAAATTTACTTCTTATATCTGCCGGATTCCAAATAAAGAACGGCTTTTATTTCCTTTCTATTTAAAAAATATTATATGAATACCTTTCCTTGGTGATACCTAAACCATATTCAGAATCCTGCTGGACAAGAAGTTTAGGAAATGTAATTCATGGGATTCCAGCTTCTGCAACAAGGGAGAGAAGATAGAAGAAGATAGAAAAGCTTCTGAGTGCCAGACGACCATATCAGCAAGTCTCCTGCCTTCTACTTCTTTAACCTATCTAATTCTTTTAAGTACCTGACATTCTACATTAAATATTTTCTGGTTGAAATACCTAGTGTAATTTCTTTTTTTCTGACTGAATCTTGAGTGATGTCCACTCCCCCAGAGATTCTGATTGAATATTTCTTACACAAGTGGACTGTGATTCATATTTTGAAAAACAATGTTTTTGAGCAACCCCCCCATATCAGAAGGAATAAAATCAAACCCCATTGTTATGCTTGTCTTGTCCTACTAGACTATTTCTTTTGTCTGGTCTATCCAGTAATCTCGTTGATGAGTAAAAGTTGATCTAACTTACAGAAGGACAAGATAGAAAACTAGAGAAACTACCCATTGACTCAGGTAATCTTGGATAAACTATTAAACCACAAAAACAACATAAAGGTAAGTGCTTAAGAGCCCAGCACTCCATGTCTCTTTAACTGGTTATTAGTGCTAGCCAACTGTTGCCATTCAGGAATACACAGCCAGTACTGCCAAATCTTCATGTTGTTAATAGATTTTTTTGCATGAAATACCCTTTTCAGATGTTGATGAGGACATAAATATACAATTGTGTATGTAGAAGAAAACATATCATAAGCCAGATCTAGGAAATTAGAGACCTGGGCCTATGAATCCCTGCCTTTCAACTTCTGTCCCAGGACTTTACTGTGCTGGAGCATGAGTCATCGAAAATAAGACACTCTCTTTTGTCTCAAATGGTCCCAGGTTATTGAGAGGTACAAAGTATATAATTCATTATAATAAAAATATGCACCAGATATAGGTTTAGCACAGAAGATGGTGAAATTAACTCTAAGGAAGGACAGAACAGGTAACCTGGTGAGACAATGTGTTGCCTGGGTTTCTAGGGGTTTATAGGATTTCATTAGGCAAGTGCCTAACATGGGGAAAAAGGTGTTTCAGGAAGAGGGAAGAACATATACAATAACATTACATCATGAAATAATATGGTCTTCACAGGAATCTAAGAACATTCTTAGGCCCAGGTCTTTGATTGCTGAATCAAAGTAAAAGCAGAGAGGAGAGATGGGAACAGTGGAAAGAGATTAGGTCAAAGAGGTGAGTGGGAAAACTAATAGTGCAAAACTGTGTCTTTTGACTTTATTCAATAAGCACTGGACAGCCAATAATGACTGGCAGCAATATGGTAATAGATTGGAGGGACTGAGATCAAAGGAAATAAAACCAGTGGGGTAGATGCCATACTTCTGACCAAACATCATGAGGACTTGAAATACAGCAATGGAAGTAAGACTGGAAGGGAGAGAATGCTTAAGGGAGACTTGCACAAATGCACCAGGAGGTGTGCCCATCAATAAGGAAAAGAGTGATCTATTGCACAGCATTGACAGTGAATAACTACGGCTACAAGCAACAACATGGATGAATCTTAGAAACAAAATGTTGAGTAAAATAAACAAGACCCAGGCCAAGCGTGATGGCTCCTTCCTCCAGTCCTATCTACTTCAGAGGGTGAGGTGAGAGTATTGCTTGAGGGGGGGAAAAAAAAGCAGAAACAAGTCCCAGAATGCTACCTAGAAAAAGATGTAAAATTTTGTGAAAATTGAAAACAAAACTAAACAATACTATTTAGGCACATATCTATGTGATAAGAATATATGTTAAAAGAAATAAAAAATAAATATAAATCACGGTATTGGTTTCTTTGAGAGGGGAGGTTGGGGGACAAGATGAGATTTAAATTATTAGTAATATTCCAGTTCTTCTATTGGGTGCTTAATTCACAGGAATTTATGGTAATTAAGATGGACAGATCGCTAGGTAAGCTGTCCTTTAAGAGGCCAAGAAAACAATGTGTCAGGACAAAGGATTATATTCTATTATCTGTACTTTAAGAAAACCAGGTGAAGATATATTTCAGAGATATTTTGGAGGAGGGGTCAATAGGTTTCCAAACATTTTTTTCCTCTTAAATTGGTTTTGGATTAGCTCTCCAAAGCAGCATCACTGTGCGAGGCCCACGTGCTTTTACATCCCGCGCTTTTTGCCCTTTGCCCTTGGCTGTCATTGCTTCCCCTCCAAAGGGAGGTGGGGTGACGCCAAGCCATGGGGGAGGGGAAAACAGCCTGTGGCTCTAAAGCTCTCCGATTGGTGGACCGAGGACCCAGAACGAGGCTCGAGCTGAAGCGTCAAAAAGAGGGGCAAAGGGGGTGGGGCTAACGGAAGGCGGGGCTAAAGAAGCTTAACGGAATCCAGACGCAAGTGAAATTGTCCGCTCGCCTCGCTGCGATGGCGGCGGCGCCGAACACAGTCACCCCGCTGGCGGCGGAGTCTTCCCCTCAGGAAGCTACCGTCTCTGCCGCCTCCTCCTCCTCCTACACCGCCTGCGCGGCGGCGGCGGCGGCGGCGGCGGCGGCAGCCGTAATTGTTCCTGCCTCCTCCGCCACCTCCACCCCTGCCTGCCCGCCTGCCGGTGGCTTTGGCGGCGACGGCGGCGGCGGCGGCTTTGGCGGCTCCACAATGGCGGCGGCGGGGAGGGGGGGCAGTAGTTTTAAAGTAGACACCCGCCCTTGCCTCAGAGAAGGTGAGTTCCCGTCCCGGGGTGCGGGGGCGGCCCCAGCTCCTTCGCTGCCTCTCTTCAACCCCTCCGAGATCGGGCTGGGCGCGGTTCGCCACTGCCCCACCCCCCACCTGCCGTGGCGCAGTAAAGGCCAAGCTTGCCCCGCCCCGCCCCGCCGTGTTGGCCCCTAGTGTGCAAGATGGACTGAAGCCGAGAGGGCCTTCCCTACCTCTCCCACCCGTAAAGGATGGGGGTCCCAAGGCAAAAGAATTGCAGGTACTCAAGAGGCAGGAGTTGAAGGGAAAAAAGATACCACATAATTTCTCTCCCAGCCGGGACACCTTAGTGTGCTATAGGAAGCTGAGGTGTGATTTTGAAGAGAGAGGAGGCAAGGTAGAAGTGCTGTGAACCAAGAGAGTCAAGGATAAGGGAAGGGGGACCGATGGAGAAAGGGGGGGAGACAAAATAGGAAAGGCCAAAGAAATAAAGGGGAGTAAACCCCCTTTGGTGAAATACAACATCCTGCAGTGTAGAAACTCGAAGTCGAATATTTACAGAGAGATGATGTTAGAAATTTGGGCAGGTTAGAAGTGTATACTTGAGCTTTAAAGTAAGATATGCCGGATTTAGGAAGGTAAGGTCTAATGGAAGGGACTCTACTGGGGAAAGAGGAGACGAAGAGAGTGTGGCAAAAGCACAGATTTCAGGAATCACTTTGGAGACTTTTATTTGGCTATTTGAGGATGTGACCTAGTAAAGCAAGGTTTGCAGGCCCATCTTTGAGGTGGTTTGGGTTTTAATAAGTTCTGTTGTACTTCCCGACACATATTACTCCTAACATAAAAGATATTTCTTGACTATATCAATATAAGCGGTATTCACACAAAGTTCTGTATACTTGTAAACAGCCTACTAATAGCAAACTGTAAAATTTGCCATTGAAATGTGTTTTAAAGCAGTTTGGGAAATGTTCTTAGCTGATGGAGACCATTCCACAACAGAGTATCCCAGTAAAGCATTTTGTCATCGTAAATTTCTTAATTTCCAGTATTTGCTATGTTACCTTATGTTGCTAACTTGCCTCCAAAGTAAAAGATTGTGGACACCAAAGTAGAGAAAAATAAGTTCCTTTCTCTTAGAAAGATGCCCCATTAAAGATTTCTCATAAAAATAATCATGATATATCCCTGTGTGCTGTCCCATAACCTTTCACACCTTTCACTTTGGAGGAATGGCAAAGTAGAAAAAAATCCCTTACAATATTTATATAGGCACATTACATAAATGCCACTAATTAAATATGGAAGTTAGAAATACACAGTAATGTTTTATTTATCAACTCTTTTACTAAAGGCAACCTTTGAAAGACTTAGTCTAGTGTCTTCAGTCAGCCTCAGTGGATGAAAACATGAAATCTGGATTTTAAATTTTTATATCAAACTTTATGTCCATAACCAGCTAGTAGGCAAGAACAGTTTTATAGGCATCAATATCACAGCTCAATTTGGCTCTCATTGTCTTTTCAGAGTAAGGTTTAAGACCAGTATCTCATGGGGAAAAAATGGCTTTTTGCCGGTGGTGTAACTGGTTTGTATGCAGTATCTTTAAATATATGCAAATATTTAAGGCTTTCAGAGAGGTAATTTTATAAAGTAGCAGCAATACCTTATCTATATTATTGCTAGACAGTAAAATGAGGAGCACCCTGGCATAGGAGTCTGATGCAGTTAACATAGGTTCAGCCGCCAATTAATTCACTAGACTTTGTGGCCCTGAACAGGCCCCGCCCCCTCGATTTGGGTTTTGACATTTTTGGAATAAGGGAGTAGAACTACCCACACTCCAGGGGTTGATTTCAGATCTGAAAGTATCAACCATGATTTTGCAGTTCTGGATTGATATTCTTTCAATGACATTTCCATGGTTGTGTGCTCGTACAATAACTCATAAATCATAACAAACCTTGTCTGATAGTTATCACCTGACATTCAGTGAGTAATGAGATCTATGTTGAGTTAGTGCTGAGACAATTTACTAGCATATGAAAAACCAAATATAATTGTTAACCTGAAAATTATCTCTTACCATTTCATTTTAGCTAAATATCCTTCATTCACTGTTCAGTCCAAACTAAAACTCTCTCACCTTTTCACTTAAGAAATGGCAAATATTTTATATATTGCACTGCTCAAAACACTATTACGCCTAAAAATTTTTGTTTAGATATTTGTGAAGGCCATAAATGGTTGTCAGTTATTATGGCAGATAAAGGAGAAGAAAGGAAAATGTTACTTGGTGGTGTGCCAGTATCTTTTGCTTGTTTGTATAAGTCCTAGTTAAGAGATTGCTCTAAAAGATGTCAAAGAATTGTCAAGATTCAATTATTGCAAGTCCACTCCTTCTAGGATCATTAAAAGTGGTTTGGAAAAGTATTTGCTGATCCATTTTGAACTGTAGCTGATATTCTTGAGGATTTCATCTCTCTTAGAGTGGATAATGAACCAGTATCAGTGGAAATTAGAAACTAGCAAACAGGGAATATTAGAAGCTTTCAGTGATTACAAATGGGACATCGAGCAGTAATCATAGAAAGAGAACAAAGAAAGAAAAGAAATGCCATATGAAAAGACACATATACACTCAGAATTCACGGTAAAGGGAATTATGAGATTTTGTGGGACACTTCATATTTCATTTTTCAAAAATGTTTAATGACTCAAAAGTGAATTTTCACCCAGGAATAATGTTCTGGTATATTCATAGTAAAAAAGAAAATAAAAAATTCTTGCTTATTTACCCATTCCTTTTAAAAAATATATCAAATGTATCCTGTTTTAGATTGGAAAACCTTCTGGCTTTGTTTTTTTAGCTATTAATCCATTTGTGCAGCAATTACCTAACAAGACTGTCCTTTGTCTCTATATTATTCAGTAAAGTTTCAAGTCAAATGATAGTAAATCCACCATAAGAAAATACAGTGTGTAACCTTTCATGTATTCAGGAATCATTTATTGAACACCTCTATGTGTGTGTGCCAAGGACTATGCTTAGTGTTAAAGATATACATAAAAATTAGACACAGCTATACTAAACAACTCAATAATAGTGATTGATAGTAAAATTATAAAATAAATAAATAAGGGAGGGAATGCAGTTTTAAATGTTACTAGTCAGACTCCTGAGCCACAGGACCATTCCATTGTTTATTATAAATCTGTAATCTGTAGCTCACAGTATGTTATATACTACAGGCACAGTGAAGCAAATTATACTATAAATCTAATGTTGGTGTTAGGGAAGAATAGTTAGTAAACTATTACAGAATTAGTTTTTGATTCTCTATATTTGGCAGGTTGAGATGTCTGGAGAGAGGTAAATTACTATTCGTTCGTTTCTGACCCTCTATATTAGATTTCAGTGTGTGAAAACACTAAGCTTGTTTTAAAGACTAACTTAAGCATACCCCCTACTATATTTATTACATATCGATTGGGATAAAAACTTTGATTCTTTCCCATCTGAAACCAGCCTTGCAGATTCGTTCACATTTACTAATCTGTTGTAATGAATGCCATGTATTTGGTGGCTTTCTGATGCGAAGTAGCTGTCATGGGATCAAGTGTATTAATGGATTTACACGGTACCTTAATTCAGTTTCTGATTTCATGAGTATGACCCCTGAGCTGGCTAGCCACAAAGTGCTTATGATTATGAAGGTCAAGGACTTAGTTTAAATAAAGAAAATGTAAATGTTAAACATATAATTAGTACTCCCAATTATTTTGTTAATTCTGTTGTAATTTGTCATTGTTAACACTGGCAAAATGCATAAGTCAGGTGTTAATTTTATAAACTGAAAAACTAAGGACACTAGATAGCATTATAGCTGTGGGTATTCATCATGCTGGTAGGTACAGATCTTCACTTCTACCACAGCTATTATTGATGAAAACTCCTTAAACAGTGTATGACCTGTAGGGGACAAAAAGGGTTAAAACATCTTATGTAGGTTTACTCAGTTCCCCAGTCTCCTGTAACTCAGTGCTGTACTCTGCTCATTCTTTTTTTTTTTTTTTTTTTTTTTGAGACGGAGTTTCACTCTTGTTACCCAGGCTGGAGTGCAATGGCGCGATCTCGGCTCACCGCAACCTCCGCCTCCTGGGTTCAGGCAATTCTCCTGCCTCAGCCTCCTGAGTAGCTGGGATTACAGGCACATGCCACCGTGCCCAGCTAATTTTTTGTAGTTTTTAGTAGAGACGGGGTTTCACCATATTGACCAGGATGGTCTCGATCTGCCGACCTCGTGATCCACCTGCCTCGGCCTCCCAAAGTGCTGGGACTACAGGCTTGAGCCACCGCACCCTGCCTCTGCTCATTCTTTTTTAAGATTCTGATTGTATTAAGAGATTGCAAAGGTCAAGTCAGTTTTTTTAAAAATTCTACTTAATCAAGAATTCTTGAGGGAATTTATGTCTAAAAGTATAATCATGAACAATATAGCACATGTGCTCTTTGCACAATTGAAATGATTATTTCTCAGATTTTTTTAATGCCCGACTTTAAATCTGTGACTAAGAATGAGATTTATGTTTATAGTATTGGATCCAGTCCTGAAGTTTGCTCCAGTTTTGTCACTTTATTAAAATGGGATATACAAAGAATCCTTTACAATGGTAGATTGGTTTCATATCAAGATCAATTTGACTGTGAACATCCCACTTCAGCAAAGCATTAAAACATCTAATAACATGTTTTTCCTATAAACATTTGATGGGTTATCCTAAAGAGGAAATTTGGGGTTTTGTACAACTCAGCCTAATTGTCATTTAACAAATGCAAGTGAGATTCGTTTTATTAAATATAGCCAGTTATATATAAACTTGAGTCACCTAATTTGAATAGCTTAAACTTGGGGGTTAACAAAAACATTTAATTGGAATGAACAGAGAATTATCTTGCCTGGAACTGAAGAAATACAGTAATTTTCTGGTTCCTTTCCTCTGAGATCCTGCATGGTTTATAAT